CTGCTCCCTGGGGTGCAGTAACCGATTCCGGGTGCTTAGGGCCCTGTTAGGCATCCTTGGGCAGTCATCCTCTGCCCCTCCTCTCCCTCAGCTGGTGAGTGGGAGCAGTAGGATCAGGAGAGCATGGCACGTTCCGCCAGCGCCTCCTCTCCATGAACGGCCCATCCTCACGCCGGCAGGTGTCAGCACCGGAGCAAGAGCCCCGCGCTCACGGGGTGGTTATGGGTAGCGGCTCCTGCAGACAGGGGCGCGGGTGATGCCGGCGTCCCATAATCCCGGCCCCGCGTCTCTTACGCACCTCACCCTCCTCCCTTCTCACTCTCATCTCTGCTTCTGCTGAGCCCGGGACACTGCAGTGCGCACACACTTTCCAGGTCTAGCCAACCACACACAGCCGTTCTCACTGGAGTTCCATTTCACCGTATTTAAAAATCTTTCATGTACACCTGGAAAGCCCAGGAACAAAAGCAACTAGACAGGGACTGAGCCCTGGCTAATGTCCTCACTGGAAGGGCTCTGGGCTGTGGAGGGAGAACTCGGGTTATGTTGAACCATCTTCGCAGTGCAGGACCCACGGACAACCCCCAGCACCCCACTCACTGACGCTGTGGTTAGCTTCCTAGACTGAAATCTCACTACACTTGCATACAAGATCAGAGACTGAATCGCACTCAAGACCTACCTTGCCTATAGTCTTACTAGAATGAATAAGTGCGTGGGAATCAGCGGAATAGGGCTGGGCTTTTGATGCTGCCTCTCAGTGCAGAAAGCCAATAGGCAGAGACAGAAATCGAGTCTGTGAGCGCTGTTCGTGTTTAGATCAATTGAGCTGAGATAAAAGTGGGCACAGCACCCTGAGAAACCCACCCTGCGCCTCATCTCAAGCTGGACTTTTTATAATGAGTTAGACAAAGACAGTCACAGACAAACAGCCATGGGCTCATGCTCCTGGTATTCCACCCAGATTTTGTTCTCAGCCTCCTGGTCACCCTGACCTGGGCTCCTCTGGTGGCGTGAGTGTCCTGCCCCCCTTTGGCACCGTTGGGGTAGGAATCTCAGTTCAGAGCAAGGGTTTTTAGAAACAAGAAAACATATCATTGGCCCTCCCTTGTGGTGCAGTGGGTTAAAGCACAGCATTGAGAAGCTTAAGCCACCTCCGCATGAGTTCGATCCCCGCCTGCCCCGGAGGTGACCACATGGCGCGGCAGACCTCTCCTGACCCGCCCGCTGCTCCCCTCAGCAGTGTACTTGGTCAGTCGGCCTGTTCTGCTCCCCACTCTGTCTCTGGTGAAGCCTCTCGCCGCCCCTGCACCTCTGGCCTGTACCCCAGTTCTGTACGAATAAATAAATAAATCTTTAAAAAAAAAAGAAAAAGAAAACATATCATTAGTCATCTCATGCAGCCAGCCAGTGCTGTGTGTGCAGATTCCTGTACTGGGCTCGGTGCCTTCCGCGCCCTTCTAGCCCTCATCAAGAAGATTCTTGCGTTACCAGACAAATAAATCTGGGTCCTTAGAAGGAAGTCACTGATTTTATTTATTTATTTATTTATTTTTAAAGATTTATTTATTTGTGCATACAGAACTGGGGTACAGGCCAGAGACTCAGGGGTGGCGAAAGACTTCACCAGAGACAGAGTGGGGAGCAGAACAGGCAGATCGAGGAAGTACACTGCTGAGGGGAGCAGCGGGCGGGTCAGGAGAGGTCTGCCGCGCCATGTGGTCCCCCTCCAGGACAAGTACACTGCTGAGGGGAGCAGCGGGCGGGTCAGGAGAGGTCTGCCACGCCATGTGGTCACCTCCAGGGCAGGCGGGAATCGAACTCGTGCGGAAGTGGCTTCAGCTTCTTAGTGCAGTGCTTTAACCCGCTGCGCCACCAGGGAGGGCCCAGGAAGTCACTGATTTTAATAAAGTCAGTTTATTACTGATCTCTTCCAGAATATAGGGTACACGTGTTGTTATGAAACTTCGTCTTGGATTTTTTTCTTGAAAATCTAATAAGCTTTAATTATAGATGGGAGCAAACATTAATTAAAGAAGTCATTAAGAGTGATCTATTGAGGGCCCTCCCTGGTGGCACTGTGGGTGGTGAATCCTCTCACCCCCTCACACCTCTGGCCTGTACCCCAGTTCTTGTGTGTATAAATAAATAAATCTTTAAAAAATGTGTTCTATTGAACATCTTTTATTAGAGATGCATATTGAAGTCTTCACAGAGGGCATGACATGAACTTTGAGGTACCCCCACAGGGGACATACTGAAATAGGAAACTAGATGAACTTAAAGGGACATAAGGTTCATAATTGTTGAAGCCAGGTGAGGGACACGCGAGGATTATATTCCAGTCTCTCCAGTTAAGTCTGTTTCAAATTTCCAAGTAAAAAATTGAAAAGAAAGTAATTGTTAACATTTTCTCTGAAGAATTATGGAGTCCTGCCTTCTTCTGCCTTGAACGTACGGTCGGAACATGCACGTCTTCCGGTTGATCTTATTGGCCTTGGCTGTGTTTCATGGTTTTGTGGGACTTTGTGGTCGCGGTTCTAAGTCTGCCTCATGACAGGGTTCTAGATGCTTTATCCTGTATGCCACGCTCCCTCTGAGAAGCTGCCATTTGTAATTGGCTTTACCTTTTTCGTAAACGTGTTTCCTAGTCATCCTGTAGCACCTCTGAAGACAGGGATTTAACAAATAATTACTGGGAACAGTTCTCAAAGTGTAAAATCTGTTGGACTGTATCCAGGTCCAAACCTTCACTCGGATGAAGCTCTTAATCTAACTGAAAGACAGAACTTCCTGCCACCCCCAGGGCACATGCACCCATAGATGCAGTGCCAGAGATGTGTGTTATGGTGTTTCCTTCCTTCCTTCTTTCTTTAAAGATTCACTATCTATGCATACAGGAACAGGGGTACAGGCTGGAGGTGGGTGGGTGAGAGGATTCACCAGAGACCGAGTGGGGAGCAGAACAGTTGGATGGACTGAAATACATTGCCAAGGGAGTGAGGGGGGAGACAGGAAAGATCCACTGCACCCTGTGGGTCAGCTCCCTGGGAGTCGAACCTGAGCTGCAGTGGCTGGTGATGGCTTCATAGCGCTGCACTTTAACCCCTGTGCCACCAGGGAAGCCCTGTTTGTGGTATTTCTTCACACCTACCCCTGTGTCTCTCTCTGTTTTTTTACTGACTGTTTTCCCTTCATGCTGAGGACACATTTGTGGATGGCGAGATGCTTGTTGACTGAGACATAGTGTCGTGCTCGAGAAGGGCTCAGCTGCTTGACGTGGTGCAAAACGACATCACCTTCCGAGCCCTTCCTCCTTTGTCAAACAGTCATTACTAGGCGTACTGACCCTGCATGAGGGTGAGTGCTGGGGGCAGAAGCGAACAGATGCCTTCTTACACATATTAGCTATGACTTGTACACGCCACTTAAAAACCATTTATTTGCTTTTTCTCATTCTGCATTTAGAGCTTTCATTTGGAAATGTGTTCTGGCATCATATTATCATTTTACAGCATCCTAGTCTGGAATTTTAAGATAGCTTTTCGTTCCGATGCTTGGATTTGTAGTTCACACGATTATCTTATCTTCTCATACCCACAAATCAGCTAGAGTCTCCTGGACTATTTCAGAGCATGTAAGGAGGAACAGGATCTCATACTTGCAGTCTGTAATTTAGACAAGTTTGGCAGGTGATCAGAGCTCAGGCAAATCCTCTCTCTTCTGGTACCATGGTTTATTTTTGCAAATTTCAAATTCAAGTGTTAATGACAGTCTTTCAAAACTAATAATTCCCAAAGACCAATTTTTTGTACTTTATATACACCCTAGAAAGATATAAAATGTTACAGTGTAATTATGCTGTGTAGAAAATGTCTATGCATAAACATTTCTGCAGGGATTATCTTCAAAGTATTAATGGTTCTGTCACTCAAATAACATCGCTATGTGCGGTTTTCTTTTTATTTTGGATCTTGTGTTCACCAAATTTTGTTTGATAGCCGTTTCACACTTTAAAATGAAAAGCCCATTTGCATGTGCTTGTTTCAAATTCATCTCTCTGGAGGGCCTTTATTCCTCAAAGTCAATAATAAAAATTTGGATTTGATGTAGAGCTGTTTGGTTGCACAGGTGTTTCTCACGGTGTGTGGTTAGGTCATACTGCAGGAACAACCACGGGCGGGAGGCTCGCTTCACAAGGGTGTGTCGGGGTGGGCTTGAATAAGGGTGAAGATTGATAGACAACTGTACTTCCCCTGAGATCTCTCAGTCTCTTTAAGGTGAGGGGGTCGGGCATGGAGTGGACATAGCAGGATTCTTCTAGCTTGAACACATTGTCACTTAGCATATGGCATTCTTGCTATTTTCCTGATGCTTGTTTGTTAGGTGTTGGGTTGACCTAGGGAGGCCAAGTAAAGCCTTGTTGATTTTTTTTAAAAAAGATTTATTTATGCATACAGAGCTGGAGTGCAGGCCAGAGAGAGGATTCACCAGAGACAGAGTGGGGAGCAGAACAGGCCGACTGAGGAAGTACACTGCTGAGGGGAGCAGCAGGCTGGTCAGGAGAGGTCTGCCGCGTCATGTGGGTCACCTCCAGGACAGGGATCGAACTCCTACTGAAGCGACTTTAGCTTCTTAGTGCTGTGCTGTAACCCGCTGCGCCACCGGGGTGGGGAAAAACGTTGATTTTATTTTGCCTTATGTCAGAAGAAAGCAGTCGACAGTGGGATTCATCCCAGCTTCTGAAGGTTCTGACTAGTGTTTCAACGTAAAATGCCAAAGAAAAGTCTCTTTACGATGAAAATTTTTGCAAAGTAAATGATCTTTGAAGTAGGGTTCTTTACCACAATCACTGTCTGAGCAGATCCAGATTCCACTCAGGAGTGTTGAGGGGCAGAAGCTCGAGGCTGCTGCCTTCACTGGCGGGTGCAGTTAACCGCATCGGGCCGTGGCGGTGTGGGGGTGACGTCCTTCTCAAGTGTGTCTCTGATTTTGCTCAGGCTATACTGGAGAGCTTTGCCAATCCGAGATTGACTACTGTGTCCTCGACCCGTGCAGAAACGGAGCGACTTGCATTTCTAGTCTCGGCGGATTCACCTGCCAGTGCCCAGAAGGTAGATATGATCATCTTTCCTTTTCTGGTTCGTCTCATAAGTTACCGTGATCAACTGTGTACTTTAAATTTCTGAAAAACTATACAAGAGAACTTCCTATTTTGTTCCATTTATAAAACAAAATTTAAGATGACAATTGTTTGAATATTAAACATCATCTTAGAATTTCTGTGATTTTTGTTTATAAATTGAAAATGAACAACTAATACAATGCATTTTTATAATGGTGAAATTCCACTTGTAAAGATTTCTATCTTGTTCAATTATTTCATTTTTGATGCCAGCACATGTAAAACAACTTCAAAATAATTCTACCTTCTCCTGTTTTTAAATCAACTTTATAATGTCCTAAAAATTTAAATAACCTGGAACGTCTTCTCTTTCGTGACACTTTGATTTATAAAAATAGTTTTATTGGTGGACTTGTTTCATCCAAACAGGCAGATCATCATGGTCATTAAGCTGATGTTCAAGGAATAATTTTGTACGTGAAGGAAGTTGAGTCCTTATTTCTGCATGGAGAGATGCTCTGGACGGGATTCCTTTAGAACCCTTAATGTTGTACCAGTAAGATGCTACTGGAGGGTTTTCCCTCCTTAAACCAGCCTGTAAGCTCCCGATCCACAGACTTGATGCTGGAACTACGTGAAATAGAGTGACATTCTCCCTGAGGTGAAAGATAGCGTCTGAGGGTGTAAGAGCACCTCTGTCTATAAAACTACCTACAGTGCCCCTGGCCAAGAGGCCCAGAGGAGAGTGGTCCCAGATACACAGGTGTTGATAAAAGATCCCTGGTAATGTTTTACTTTCTCAAATACTTCATTTTTCTAGTTGACAAAGAATTGCCAACCCCTTCCTATACACAAGGCGCTATCCCGAGTTTAGGGTGTAAAGGTGATGTTCAACAGAGCTGAGAGGGCCCCTCAGAGGGACCAAGATAATGATATGATTCAAGCAGGCGTAGGTGAGTTGGGGCACAAAAGAAATCATCCTGTGTCCCTCTGGATTCTTCTAGGCTGGCAAATAATCAAACAAGCCTCACGCAGATTGATAAGAGAAAGTCATCAAGAAGTTCAGTGATAACGTTGGGGCTTGTAGGGTCCCTCAGTGAAAGAATTCAGCAGAGTCTCCTGTTCAGTAGCACAAGGCAAGTTTATGAAGGAAAAAGACATTTTCACAGACACAGGTGGTCCTCGCAAGAGCAAGGCAAAGTTACATACTGCTCTTTGGTAAAATTACTCTATAGAATTTATCACTTTGGGATTGGGTTGGTTTGGTTTTCTGTTACCCCTGAAATGCTTTTCTGCCCGCACCTCTGACTGGCAATCCTTTCTGCCGTCATTCCTGGGTTTTGACCTTGTGAAAAGTTCCACCTTAAATTTTCGACTCTAACCTTCCATCAATCGCATCTATCCCAGCACACCTGATTTGTCCGCGTGGCTTCAGACGCCATCTTACATAGCTTAGCTGCAATAAAAGGACTGTGAGTGGGGGAAAGGGCAGGTGGATTAGGGAGGTAGCCAGGGGAGCTGTGGTAGGTGAAGATAGGCAGATTGAAGTTCTGCCTTTACTGAAAAGAAACAGGATATGAGGCCCTAGCTCTTCTAGAAGCTTACCTGCAAACATCTCTTTCAAAAGCAACTTCTACCTTCAGACCTCCTCCCATGAAATTAACCTTTGGCCCAAAGGACATAATTTGGAGGTGGCAGACTTTGGGTTCCCTACAGGTGTCTTGAAGCTGTAGGATGTAGTGACCTGCTTGGTTTTGGAGAACTGGGAAAGCTGCCCATGTGTGAGCCCCTGAGTGAGGAGGGGGGGATGGTGAAGTTGAGGGCATCTTCGAGGAGCAAAGAGAATGAGGAACAGGCTGCCTGAGGGCAGCTGCCCAGGCAGGGCTGTGGAGGGCTCTTCGAGTTGGGCTTGGGCGTTTATCCTCATCCTGAGGCTAGAGAGTAGAGCTTAGGCCGGAGCCTGGTTTTCCTACTCACTCACCTGCTTTGTCCCTTGTGCAAGTGAGTCCCATCTCTGTGTTTTAAATCTGTGAGGCTGGGACATGATGATACCCACTTCGCTGGGTTGAGGATGATGACATGAGATAGCAAAGACAAGGTGTTTAGCACAGTGCCTGCCTGTGCTCAGTAAACTTAGAGGTATTATCATTGTTTGCCTAACAATGACCGCCATTAATCCATTGATGCATTTTAGATGGATTTTGAAATCTTCATTCTGGAACAGAGTAGCACGTAGATTGGAAAAAGACAAGAGTGGGAATAAAGAGAAAGCCCCAGGAGTAGGGGAATAGATGTTGACTGCAGGAGAAGAAGGTAGACTGTGGCACAGAGGAGAAGAAGGTAGATTGTGGAACAGAGGAAAAGAAGGTAGACTGTGGAACTCAAGCTGGACCCAAACTGAAGGAGACAAACTGAAGCTTAGATTGTATGAAAAGTAGGTAAGCAAAGCATAGTATCATGAAGTATATTCTATGTTTGGGACAGATTTTTCTGGACCTTATGAAATGTGATTATAACTCTGAATTCTGAGAAAAGGTATGGACCTCTGAAAAGGATGCAAATTGAAAACCAGAATAATTATGGGAGTGGGGCTTGGTAGCTGATAGGTGTGAGGGAACTCTGGAGGTGAAGTGGAGAGTTCTATAGATGGAGCCACCTTGTGGTGGTGGTGCCATCATGGAGAAAGAAAGATGTGGAGAGAAGCATCAACTTCTTGAACAGGCTGAGTTTGAGGAGCCCTCTGACATTCAAGGAGGTAAGTCAGCTTGGCAGTTGTTCAGTGAGCCTGGAAGGTAGAGGCTCTGGGTCAGCGCAAACCGAGGTTGGCCTACAGGTGACGCGCCAGAGCCGAGGACCTTAGGGTCATCTACAGACCTGTCCTTTCTGTGGGGCCCTTCAATGCCTCCTTATCTAGATAAAGGCTGGAGGAAGTGGGATGACCTAGACTGGACAGATGACGCCAAACCTGCCTGCCCCCTTCATAGGGAGACTTTCATTCAACGTTTTACATCTGTGGAGGGCTGGCCGAGGAAGGGGTGCTTCCTTTAGCTCCCTCATAGTTCTGCCGGATCCCCTGGGGAGTCGGGAAGCCGGTTCTGAAAGTAGCTAGCTGGGGATCTCCTTTCAGAAGGAGCCCTTCCCCCTGGTTCACTTGGGTGGTAGTTGTGGAAACTAATATTTATAGAGCACTTTGCACTTTCAAAAGAACCTTTGTCCCCAGGGCCCTTTCCTGTAGACCACACTGTGAAAACAAGTCTGAAAGTGCCTTGAATTCACAAAATATTCTCAAGTTCTGAGCAAGCTCCTGACCTTTGCCCACTAACTTTTCTTTCTTTTCCCCTCAGAGATGAACATTTTGGCGTGTTTGCTTTATGTGTGTGTGTTTATATAGGCAATGGGGTTTTTGCCAAGTAATTTGAAAATAAATTATAGCCCTCATGATGCTTCACCCCTCCAAATACCATTTGTGTTTTCTGAGCATAAAGACATTCTCCTTCGTGTCTCTAACACCATTATCATGCCGAAGGAAATTAATCATTAGTTCCCACCTGGTTCCTTTTCACTGACTCCTTGGGGTGTTTGTTGATTCTGTCAGTTCTCCTTCCCTGGTTAGGGTTGGTGTCAGAGACTCTTAGTAACTGATCACGGATTATTGGGGGGTAGAACAGGCAGGTCTCAAGGTGGGAATGGCATCAGCAAGCGGAGATTAGTCTTCCTGCTCTGCCTTCAGCAGAGGTTTATTTTATACACTTTAGGCTGGTAGAGGGATGACATTAGCATATGAAATGGGCTGAGATCACAATCACCTTTTTGCTAAGAGTAGTCTGGGGTCGTTTTGGCCTTCAGTTGAGATTATAACATTTAAAATCAGTCTATCAAGGTTAAAACAGGTACATAGAGTCACAAAGTTTAAGACTAATCTTACTATATTTACCCCAGTGAAGATTAACCAAAATAAAGTCCCTGAAACATAATCTATTACTTAAAGGCTTTCATTCTCATGGAGACATCCTAGGGGGTAAAGTGAGGGCAGGAAGAGGAAATTTCTTGTAAATCAAATTACAGTAAAGTTCTTTGAAAAACTTGTTAGAAAGTTTAAGTGAGTTTTCTTGAAGTCTAGATGGTAAAAATACTGGTTAGCTATGAATAGGTGACTAGGGTGAATTTCCATATCTAAAGACTAGATAGTAGAAAGCTTGAGTGGTTCTTTAGAAACTTAATAGAAGGCTATGTGAGATAGAGTGATAAGATTTGGCTCTTCCTCCATCTGGCAGTGAGAGACTTTGCAGTAACAGCCATTTGTTTTTATTAATCAGCCAGTTGTTTAATAACTTTTGACTTCAAGAGGAATTTCTCACCCTGGTGCAGTGCTTGTTTGTCAGGGCCAGGTAGCGCCTTCTGAGGCTGAGGCAATCCAACTGTAAGCTGAAGGTTGCTCAGAATATTTTGATGCTATGATTATACAAAAAAGGGAGGTCATAGCATAAGTTAGTGCGGAAAGTCTGATTTTTCAGAGCATTTCCCCTCCATCCTTACCGTGTCTGTCGACAGAAGTTGCATAGCTTGTGTCAGGTTGGAGGGTGGGAAGCATATGTCCTTTGTCTCCTGTCAGTCACCTACTCCCAATACCCATGCGGGAACATTTTTCTCCTTATTTTACATTATCAGGAGGTTGGTAAACTAAAGATAAAGGTCACCTCTTAGATATGACTCACTATGCCTACCAACTCATCGATACTCATAACAGTTCCATGAAGCAAATACTGTTAATATTTTCCCATTTAACATATTGGGAAACCGAGGCACAGGGGAGTAATATATCTTGTGTGTGATCTCATAGCTGGAAATTTAAACCCAGGCCACTTGGCACTAAATTTATCTCCTTATTGAATTAATATTAATATTTTCTGTAGTTTTTATTTAATTGAACTGACAATTTATGACACTGTATATGATTTAGGAGACAAGGTTCACACCTCTTTAGATGTA